ATTTATTATGTATACTACATTCTGCTTCCATGTATATCTGCACACCAGATCTCATAAGGGATGTTGTGAGCCACCATGTGGTTGCTGGGAATTGAACTCAGGACCTCTGGAAGAGCAGTCAGTGCTTTTAACCTCTGAGCCATCTCTCCAGCCCTATTTTTGGTTTTTAAAGACAGGCTTTCTCTGTGTAACAGCTCTGGCTGTCCTGGAACTTGCTTTGAAGACCAGGCTGGCCTCGAACTCACAGAGATTTGCTTGTCTCTGCCTCCTGAGTGCTGGGATCACAGGGGTGGGCCACCACTGTCTGGATGTGTCTCATGCTTTTAATCCCTGCACTCGGAAGGCAGAGACAAGTGGAGCTCTGAGTTCCAGAATAGCCAGGACTACACACAGAAACCCTGTCTCAAAAACAAAACAAAACAAATAAAACAAAACAAAACAAAGCACCAAAAAAGAGGGAGAGACAGACAGGCATGGTCTGCAATCCTGATGGAGCCAGGGCTCTGATTCCATGCTTTAGGACTCCCTGGGTGCCGTTCCCCAGTGTCCCAATGTCCCCATCCCCTGGGAACCTGCAGGAGCATATAGCGTGGGCAGGACACAGCTTGCATGGGGACTTTCTTCTTCTCAGGGACTTTTGGTGATCATTCCCACTGTGATGTGGTTGGGATATGCCTGGCCCTCAGTTTTACCCTCTGTCCAAGGGCACAAGTCTACTCACTCCTGGCTGGTCTTGGGGCCCAGAGCTCTAACACACCTGTTCTCTTGTCTCTCCTTCCCACTCTCCCCTGAAATAGGCCCTGTGTCAGATTCCTCTTTCCAAACCTCTACAATAACCCCAGATTACCACTTTAACTTGCCTGCCATACACAGCTCCACGTGACCATAACTGTAGACCCCAGAAGTATCTGTTTCCAAGGGTCTGCACATCAACTGAGTACAGGCAGGGGTGGCCTGGCTGCAAGCAAATGGCAAGCAGCTCCATTCATTCATTCATTCATTCATTCATTCATTCATTCTTCATTTTTGAGAAAGGGTTATCAGTCTAGACTAAAAATAACTATGTAGTCAAGGATGACCTTGAACTTCTGATCCTCCTACCTCCACCTTTGAGTGTTGGGATTATAGGATTACAGGCATGCACCACCATGCCTGATTTATGTGGTTCTGTGGACAGAACCCAGGCTTTGTGCATGCTAGGCAAGCACTCCAACAACTGAGCACATTTCCAGTAAGCAATCCATTTAGAACGAAACTCTACTTAGCCACGGTTCAGTATTGTTGGCTTTCTTTCTTTTCTTTTCTTTTCTTTTTTTTTCTCCCCAGACAGGGTTTCTCTGTGTATCTTTTGGAGCCTATCCTGGAACTCACTCTGTAAACCAGGCTGGCCTGGAACTCACAGAGATCCACTTGCCTCTGCCTTCTGAATGCTGGAATTACAGGCCTGTGTCACCATTGCCTGTAATCCCTATCAGGGTGCCCCTTTTCACTGGTGCAGATTAGAGGCCTTCCTTGTCCTTGGTAGGGGGACTGACTACTAGGGAGTAGGCCAGCTCTGAGCCTGGAAACTCAGGGAGCAGATGGCTCAGAGGTGTCAGGAATGCCACCAAGCTTCCAGAGTGATGTGGACCCCTTCTGTGCCAGTCTCAGAAGAACCACTCCTGTGTACCAGCTGACAGTCATATTGAGCCATGGTAGCACATCTCCACCTGTCTCCACCACCCAGGGTCTGGTCAAAGGCCAGTAGGAACCAGGATGCTGGCCTTAGGCTTAGAGCCAGGGGGCCCTAAGGGGCTAGATGAAAGGATACTCCACCCCCTCCCTACCTCAAACTGGTCCAAGGGCACCCCTGACCCCCAAAGGAACCTCTGATCCCTGTAAGGGCAGCCTACTTGATGACTGTGCCTTGCTCTTAAGGAGATCCTGGAGTGCCCAGGATCTTTCTCACGGCACCCCTAGCCACCCCATGGGACATGCATCATGGTTAGCATCACTTGACTAAGAAAGGAAATGGAGTCTGAAAAGTTACTATGTTACATAGCTAGGGAGGACAGACAGAGCACCACCACCACATGCCCATCTCTGGTGTCTCCAGTCCCTCCCAGACCTGTCCGCTGCCCAGCATTGAGGCGTGCACCTGGTTGACCCTGGTCTCTGCCACAACATAGGATGGGAAGCCAAATGCTGATTATTTTCCCCAACCCCCTGTGTGTATGTATGTGCCTCCCCAGACACTCTCTCACTCAAGACAGAACCCCCAGGTGGGAGAGGAGGGAGCCGGGATGGCCACTCAGTCACCCTGGAGCCAGATCTCCCAGAGACTATTGCTGGGAAGCTAAGTCCTTTCCACCCTTAGCAGTCTCTGCTCATGCCCCACTCACCATCTGGAGGACCCCGAAGAAGGAGATGAGGTAGCCAGGCTGTGCAGCCTCTAGCTGGAAGAAGTCCATGGAGATAATGGAGAACATGACCATGAAGACCCCTGGGCAGAGGAGTAGGCAACCATGGTATCAGGCCCCGCTGCAGCACACACCTCCCTCCTGTGTCCTAGGCAGGGGCTTGCTTGGCCAGGGAGTGACCTCTGAGATTATAGAAGTCGACCCCCTGGGGTGATGCTGTTAAGTAGTCCCTGTGAGCTACAAGGTGCCAGGATGGGAACTCAGGGAGTCATGGGAACTCTCAGAGGCCCCTGTC